TGCAGTGAAAAAACAGTTTTTTCCGTATATATGACGTTTAGCATATTCAAGAAAAATCCTGACTCTTCCTTTTGCCTATGCTCTATCCCTGTTCCTTTTTCTCTTTCCTAATCATGCTCCAGAATCAGCCATTACCAAAAAGAAAACAATGTAAAAAATAAAATAAATGACTCCTGCTAATGCATAATACTTTTTGACTGTGAAAGTGTAAAAATTATTTAGTGCTGCTTAGGTAATCCAAAATAAATAAATAGCATTAAGAAATATTTTTCCAACTTTAAGTTTGTTAACTGCTTGTACATTGTACCAAATATTACAAACCTTACTATACTTACCAAGGGTACAGATAGTGCTGTTAGCCAGATGAACCCCGAGCTAACAATAGCACTGCGATGCTACGGACATAAAACAGTCAGTTTACACACCGTTTGTTGAAATGTAAACACACGTCGATGCACCATTAAATTACAATGACAGAAATCTCATCTGAAACAGCCAAACTGTTTTCAGTTTGGAAAATATGTATGTCTTCATAGCTTGGAGTATAAAGCTGATTGACAGAATAGACTTGGCAGCTAAAAGTTGTAATTAGTCAACTATTAAAAAGTGAAGGGAATTGAAGTTGAAATGACCCACCATCTCCTCTCTTCAGCACGCCGTTGTAAGACACGCTGAGATAGGAGGCCCTTTGAAGTTCAATTGCCGCTCCAAAAGTAAACTTCAGGCACAAAGTCTTCCGTCCTGTGATTATTTGATTGTTGTTTATACAGGGCCAGAAAACAGATGAGAGGTCATCTCAACCCGCTGCAAAAAAGGCCTGTGTTGTTCAATTCAAAGACAGCAACAGGAAACAGCTTTTATTTGAATCATTATCTACATGTTTGATCTTTACTGTGCAGATACCATGCAGTGTTTATACACACTCTACGTGCCATTTGGGAAATGGTAGTAATTCTTAGTAATTCACAAATGAATGGAAAACACATTCAGATTTAACAGCTGCAGCAGAGAAATATATGGATGTATCTCCCAGGTTTTGTTGGGTATGATTCAATCTGCTTATTTTCATGCATTAGGGATCCAGGAGTATGTGGAGGCCGCCTCTTTCCTGCACTATATCCGTCATCGCAGCCTTATCAGCCTGGAGGAGATCAACGCCAGGCTGGTGTTCATGAAATCAGAGAAGGAAGATTCTGAGGTAACTTAAAAGAAGGCTTCCTGGTTAAGTTGCATGCTTGTTAAATAAGCCTAATTCTTATTTTTGTGTTTCTTCTTTCCAATTTTTCAAAGATTTAACTGTAGTCATTTTGGGAAGCACACTGATTTGCTTTCTTGCAATGACTTTGATATAAACCACTCTCATGTCAGTAGAGTTTATATGAAGTTACAGCCAGCAGGCCAGTTTCACATTCAGTGTACAGACATCAGAGTAATATTGAGCGCCTCATCTCACTACAGCTAAGAAAGCATTTAAATGCGTTCTCCCAACTGTTTCTTTAAAAATATCGTTCTTTTGTATGAAGCTTTCAAACCAGTAGCACTTGCACTCAAAGGCAAGATCGGTTGGTACCCTGTGTTGCATTTATAAGCATTATGTGTCATTATGTCATTTTGATCCACTCAGCCTGGTGTTTTCAAAGATAATAGCTTCCTGTTGATGCTGACAAAATTGCTTGAACTTCAACATATGTAGTAAAAGCATCATCATGCTTGAGAAAAAATTGACTTTGCTTATTTGTGGCTCCGGGCTTTTATAATACTAAAATAATAATGCAATTGTGGCTAGACATAAGTGCCTTGACAGTAAGGCAAAAGTTACTAAAATATTATGCTGGATACAAGAAATGATAATAAAATCAAGAAGTTAGACTAGAAGCAGAGCTATACAACATAAGTCACCTTTTGTTTTTAATGATTAATATTGAAAGTAAATCCTGAAGGGTAAGAGTAGGAATCTTCAAAATCTGCCTAGAAGCTTTGAAAGAAAATCATCCAAATAAGTGTTGTAATCTTTGTCAATGTGGACGTTTATGTTTTGATGTTGTATTCTTCCTCACCATGTTTCCCTCTCAGGGCCCTGCTGACGCCCTGCAGCCAGGGGGCCAGGTGCTGACCTTCCAGGTGTCGCCCTCCGACTACCTGCTGGGCGTGGCAGACCTGACGGGCGAGCTGATGCGGATGTGCATCAGCAGCGTAGGCAACGGCGACATAGACACGCCCTTCCAGCTGAGCCAGTTCCTGCGGCAGATCCACGACGGTTTCTCCTACATCGGGAACACGGGCCCGTACGAGGTCTCCAAGAAGCTGCACGTGCTGCGCCAGAGCCTGGGGAAGGTGGAGGACGCCTGCTACGCTCTGCGCGTCCGCGGCTCCGAAATCCCCAAACACATGCTGGCTGATGTGTTCTCCAGCAGGACGACGCACATGGAGCCAGAGGAAGGAGTGGTTTAAAGCCTGCACAGCTTTAACATCATTTATGTTCTCTTTGGTGTCATTGTCTCCCCTGGTTTGGTTCAAGTTTACATGTATTTTTAATGGGATTTGACATGTTTGATATGTTCTGGCTTTTTGTTTTTTGTTATTACAGTAAAAATGCTGTTACAGTAGACAATAGAATTTGTTTCTGTGATAAAGATCTGATGACTTCATTTGTTTTGCATGAATAAAAGAATTCTATGCCAAATATGTCATGTTCTCCTAGTTTTTTAAGCTGCTTTGATAGTGTGTGTTTATTTTTACTTTCTCTATCACACAGATAATCTAAGGTAGAACCATTGGCTGCCTGCACTCACTGCATACTGTGTGGAGGAGGTGACCTTTGTACATTGTACGTGCCTATTCTGTGGCTGGCACACACAACCCACTGAGTCCTCATTCTACCCTCTTTAAACAATCCTCACCTCGCTGCTATCACGTACATTCTGAATCAGGTTTGGAGCATATTTAGACCATTTTCTGGCTGATATCATGTTGGTTTCTCATCGACTGATTGTGGTTATGATATGCCTGCGCAATATATAATCAGTAACAGAAGCCCTTGTTCAGAATTAATTAATTTGAAAGAAAATTAGACTTGTGAGTCTGATTAGTCAATATGAGGTCCGGTTGTGCTTAAAGGCTTGAAATTGCTAATCTATGAGAACATCATTGGGGGCTTTATGATCAATAGTTTTATTGTCATACACAAATAAGATCATCTGTCATTTCATTCCTTTCGATGTTCTTTTCAGAGATGTGACAGGATATAATGAGCTCAAGTGTTATACGAGTCTGCCATCTAGTGGCCAATGTCAGTACTACCGATATATATTATAAGAGCAAATGCTTATCCATAAAACAGAAACAATCTAGAAGAAACAAGATCAAATTAATTCAATATCACTACAGATTATAAATATACACTGTGTAAAATAAATGACAATGCCTGCGTTGAAAAAATTCAACTGCCTGGCTTTTTCTGATTTGCTTTTTGTTGCATGAATCTACATTACATTAGGAAACAACTAAAGGTTGTCCAAATACTTTTCATTGATTTATTTACTTGTTTTATTTATATTTATTTATTTTTTTTCTTTATTATTATTATATTTAGTTATTTACCTTACAGATAAACGTTTATTTTTACCATTGATTTACCATATTTATCTATCCTCTTTTCCTCCTTCTTCTAACTCTCGCCCATACCTGTTTGCACTCTTCTATTCTGAGAATATATTCTGTGAAATACTTATTTTCATGTTTCAAAACATTACAAAACCTGAACAACAACAACATATTAGAACTTAAATGTTTTTTTTGCCAGCAGACATGAAGTGCTTGTCATATTTAACACCAGAAAGGGTATCTACATCATGCTGTGTATGGCCATTGATTTAATCCGTTCTGCCGCCCAGCTCTCTTTCCCTCCACAGTGTGGCTTTACTAAGTATAAAGGCTGCGCTCTGTGATAAAGAGCTCAGTTCAGCCCACAAAACAGAGTCTTGTCCATCAACTAGCCACACTGAATGAAAGGAACACTTGGATGTGTGGGAAGGAGGTTGAAAAGACTCTGCTCTATGTGGGGTCTCCTCTTATTCATTCCCTCACTTGCATAAACAAAGCAAGACTTGTCAGGATGTTATTGGTGTCTAAAAATATGCAAAAATAATTTGCATTTTTGCACCCAAACAATTCGTTTACCTACATATTATTGACAAAAAACTGTTGAGATAGTGTGCAGTGCAGAGACATACACTTTAAAAGGGATTACATTGTGCATTTCTAATGTATATTTATTTCTCTACATCTTTGTGTGCATTTCAATAGGTTACACATAAGTAAAAACAAGTCATTATATTTTAAAGTTTTGCCGACAAAATAAGTTAATGTTAGTCTTATGTTTTTTGGACAATCAAAACAAGCCAATTCATTGTCCGATGTAAACCAAAGACAGTACTGTATATAAAGGATGGAAAGAACCCTCTGACTTCCCAATAGATTCAAGCCATTACATTGGCCCTCTGATTGGTTCATTGGAACCAGGCCTTTGATTAGCTGTTGACAATATCCATTTTATTATCCTGATTGGTCTATTGTAACAAGCCATTTGATTGGCTGATTGTAGATTGAACTGCAACAACATAAAATATATTTAGTAAAGTTATGTTTGCATGTTTTTCCTTTGCTTTCAATTATGATAGAACAAAAAAAAGCTTACTTTGTAATTGATCATTAATGCATGAAAGGGTTGAATGTGCAAACTCTCACATAATGATAATGAGGCAACTCATAGAGTAAGCTACATAATACGTTTAAGTGTAGTATTGTTTATCTGACTTTAACAGAGTTGGACGCAGAACGACAGCTTTTGTGTGTGTGTTTTTAACACAATATTTTATTTAACTCCACCAGCTACATATATGACAATAAACACAGCGTGCGCATAGAGCAGTGTGCATCCTGCCTGCTGCGGTTGTGAGGCGGGCTGAAGGAGTCTGGAGTCAAATTCCAGAACACGTAGGGGCTCCTCGCGCTGCTCCAACACGACGCACAACGAATGGGCGCAGCAGCGAATAACGGATTGCAGATCAACTCATCGATGAGACACTTTCACAGTCATTACTTCTGCATTTCCAACATTTACCACTGGATGATTTTCCAACAACACATGAAGACCATTTATCTCCAGACCGTGTGTTCAAATACGCAACTGGACCCACTTGTTTGCCGCAGAGGAGACAACGCATTGGATCAATACTTGCGTCAGGAAATGTTTATTATGGACAAAAGAACGCGTGTTAAAAAGCCGGCTTCACATGTCATTCCAAAGTTGGGGAGAAAATAACAGCCTGGGTTCATTTTTCCACAACGGAAATAAGATCAGTCGCATTGCTTGGCTCCTCTTCTACTAAAACATGGTCGATGTAACTCCATAGTGCCGGGATCTGACATTCTCTGCCCACTAACAGCTAGTTGTTAATGGAAAGATGTTTGCTGGACTAATGGGGCTGGGATGTCACAGTAACTCTCTACTTCACTGCGAAGTCATGGAAGGTAAAACAAACTTATTTTCTACAGCTTCTGTTTATCACGAAAACCATAGATCTGATGCAGAAGGGAAGGTGTTGGGGATTATGAAGGCTGTCTTAAATATTCCCATTGTCCTTAACATGACTTTGAAAGTAAATACAAACCTAATAAGTCATTGGAAATGAGAATAAACTAAAGAAGAAAATACAATAATACAATACAAAGGAGCTTTATTGGCATGACCACATCAAAACACATAACATTGCAAATACCTATAAAGGGTACTTAATATTATATAAAAGCTTACAGTGGTCACTGGATCTGAATACTGGATTCACCTCTGTTAACCGGTTTAACTAGTCCAAAACAATACCTGCTTTTTGCCCTATGTTTCTTTATGTCACTGTATACACAACAGTGTGGCTTAAGGGGGATCTGTGTTCTCCACATTGACAATCACCACGGCTTTGTCTTTTATACAAAAATTGAGTATGTCTTTGAATCATTCAGGTCATATAGTTCAAAGGGTCCATGACAGTCAGTGATGATTGCAAAGTAACAAAATACTTGTGAAAGATCTGTTTCCCTCAAATGGCAATTTGGAGTGGTACAGTGAGCACCCAGCTGTATATGATCTATCTTGCGTAACTTATTTGCATTTGTGCCCACTGTTATAGATATTTCAGTTTCTGATATGATGCCTGTAATAACTTGTTTTCATTCAAATCTTGGCATGCTTAAACTTTCTATAATCAAGTTATAACCTTAGTGTGTTTGAATCTCTACAGTAGCTGCACATCTTTCAACGGTGACACGGGTTGGCCCTTCTTTTCTTCATGTTTTAGAACAATATTCTTGTCAAACATGTAACCAGTGTGAAAATACAGCTAACCAACTCCCAATGTAGGATTACTTCAGCATCTAAAAGAAAGAACAGCCTTCTTACACATATTGTTCACATAAAAAAATAGGTTATAAATAGCATCTAAAGTCAAAATGACTCATTTCGTATGATGGATGTTGACGTTAAAAGGTAATGCAATTAAAAAGAGATTAAATCAAATTGTAGTATTGTGGGTGTAGTCATTTTAACCATGCCAGTGTTTTTCTCGCTGCTTTGTCTTCACTTCACTAAGCTCCACCATATTCAGCTAATTTATGATCCTCGTGTGACCAAACAGGAAGTGCAGAGCTGTTTTATTTTAAAGTCTCACCAGGGCAATGCAGCGAAGGTCTTACATTAGTAAAGTTTCCTGTCAGCCATTAAATACATTTTCCAGATAGATAGAGTTACTTCTTGGATCACCATCTGTCATATTCACGGTCCACAGACTTTCACTTCCTTATTCCTGTTGCTGTGGTCGGTCACAAGTGGCGAAGTGTTGCACATCTGCCGAGCAGCACTGCTTCTCAGGAGGCTGCTGACATGTAGATCTGCTGGTGTGTGTGTGTGTGTGTGTGTCTGGGGGTGCTGCTGAGCTTGTTCCTCAAACGTTTGTGTTTTTATGAGATCCTCTGCATTCCTCTTCTCTGTGGCCAAAGCTCTTTCAGCAGCCAATGGGATGTTGTGTTTAACCTGAGGGCTCCGAGGAGGGCCTGTTTAATCTCCCAAAGGTAAATAATCCGGCCTCCTCTGTCTGAACGCTTCGTTTTCCCACACTTTGTACAGAGATTCCTCAGAATTAGCAAGTTTCAACTAGAAAGTTGTAATTGTCGCAGTGTGGATTATTCAGACTCCAGATTTGAACTACCTTTAGTCCTCCGTGGCTTGTTTGTGGTTTCGAGATGCGTGGACTCGAGTCACATGACTTTTCATAGAGTAAGACAACTACTTTTACAACAATGAATCTCATCTTCTCTTGAGCTTTTTACTTAAAAATAATAATGCCTTCCCCCAAGTCCATATTTAAAAGTAAGTTATTTAAAGTGTGCACCAAATCAATACAAGCTTACACTTTCGCTATTCATTCAAAGTAATTTGACACTGGATTTCCCTGATACACTTTGTTTGACCCAACGCTATCCAATCAAGATGCAGGAATATAACCATAAAGACCTAACCTTGGTTAGCATTATGCCAAATGTGCTGATCGGAGGTTATGGACTGGGGCCGCATTATGTCTTGTTTAGGACTGAAACTGAAAGTTCAGGACTAGGGACTTGGCGGTCTTTAATGGGGACTAACTTCTGACTTGCAAAAACAATGACTTCATCCCACCAATAGCTGTTTCTGCCGGAATTCCTGACAAACTATTTCGGCACAAAGCCTGGCAGGAAGCAGCAAATGACATACCTCTGAAGGGCTTCAACCGAGAAGTAGATGCCCCCAACACACACACAGACAGACATGCACAATGGGCCCTGAGGCATTTCCTTCCCCTTTAGTGAGAAGAGCCCTCTTTGTGTAATCGAAGCATTCCGAGGATACAGTAGCACTTTCGATCAAAAAGTCCTTTCCCTTTCAATTCCTGGGCATTTTGACAATGTGGAGTAGCTACATATTATATTTCTTGTCCACACCAGATGGTAGACGGTTGTCTTTGGTACTGAGGATAGTGTTGGGTTACTTAAATTGGTTATGGAACAGTGGTCACGTCTGCATTGAAACACTAATGGAGCTGCTTGTAACCTGAGCTTGTAGCGCACAGGGGTCCCAGTGGACAGAAGACTCTACGCACACATACATGGGTACCAAAGGAACCCCCCTATGTTACCCTTGCTGAAAACCCTGCCTTCCCATCAACCTAACATCCAAACTCTCCCTTAAGTGGTGTCCTTTTGTGTCTCTTCCTCTCCAGTCACATGGGAGGATTAGGAGTGACATCACTTGAGGTCATGGGGGTCTCTTGTTTCTTTGTAGTGGTCTTGGTTTATTTGATGCCCTGCATTCCTGTCTTCATATACAGCTAGACACATACTTTAAATAACTGTGATAGTAATACAACATTTAAAAAAAAGTGTATCAGGGTTTTACAATTATAGTAGTCTGAATGCCCCCAGTGTTTCACTATAAGCCCATGTGTCAGTGTTTCTCTGTGTGTGTGTGAGTGGGAAGAGAAAATTGAGAGCCAGAAGTGGAAGAGAGAGCGGCGCAGCTGTACACAAAGGGGCTGTTGATACCCAATGTTTCAGCGTGTCTCCCTCTCTGAATCCTACACATGATATGTGGTATTAATCATGTGGAGCTGCAGCAGGTGCTCTGAAGACACACTTTATCATCCTGCTCCATGTTCAGTCCAAATTCTATTTACACTGATGTTTTACCCTCATTGTTAAGATTGGCCATATCTACTGCAGTAGTTTTCAAACTATTTCTTTCATGGCCCCGCCTATCATAAAGCTTTGATATTTTAGTCATTGAGTAACAATATCAGGGAAATTAGTTACATTATTAAGAACATGGACTGCATGTTTCTTTACATTGCTCTGCTGTCCAAACACAAATTAAACTTTTCCCAATATCCAAAATTGTTGCACACAAACAGTGGGACATTATTGATTTTAAATTATGTGTTTGCTTAAATGTTTCTGTTTTGGCCCTAATCTGAACCTCTCAATTTCAAAAGCTGCACTGATCAATACTATGTATCAAATCAAATAACAATGAATCAAATGACTGTTTACATAAGTAATGAGAGTTATACCAATATACACAAACTCAACTATAAGGGCTCCCGGTGAGGTTGGAGCTGGAGTCAAAGCTTTTGTCTTAAGTGAAAAATGATGCGTCTTGTGCTTTATCAAAGTGTACTGGTACTATACTTAAAGCTTGTTCCATTACCCCAAGTCTTTCTTACTTTCCCCGCCAACGTCCAGCCTGTAATACACAATGTTGCACCCCACAGAAAGAGAGTTTGTCATTTTGCTATCTTTAAATTAAATCTTAAAAGTCTTGCAAACATCAGAGCAGTCTGAGAACCTCTGGACTAGGTCAACATGGCTGTGTTTTCAAGGATAAACCAATTCAAATGTAACTTAAACAAATATTGTTCATGTAGGCCATTCCTCCACTGAGAGGCGTATCTCAACTCAAAATGACTGTGTGGCTTTGGTATTTCCCAACAGCTGGAACAGAACTCTGGGAACTGTCTGACATCTGCCAAAGTTGTTTGTCATTCAGTTAACAAAGTTAGCTTTAACAGCAAAGCCTGGGATAAGTTATTTTGGTCATATCACATCCATTACTTTCAATCTGATATTTTTTCCATTCTTGTGAAATTGGCACATATTCCTATGAGCTCACTCTTTACCTTCCTAATGACTGTGTTGTCCAGCTTAATGATTAATATCTGCATTTACAGGTGGCAGAGCATCAGGGACAGCCGGCAGCTCCACTCGTAAGAGGCTCCATCGAAGACCAGGGTACATGAGAGGAGAGCAGTCCAGACTACAGAGCACTTTTAATGGGCAGGAGGAGGAGCAGGAAGAGGAGGAAGAGGAGGAAGACGAAGGGAGGACCACTTGCATTAGGAATGGGAAATCTGGGCGTCACAATGCCATTACTCAGGGGACCAGTGCACAAAGGATGAGTCTAACCCCTGCTGTCAAAGTGTCTGTAATAAATCAGCTTGTGGACACATGTGGATCCTGGAAAAGTACGAGTTTTCTCTGCTCTGGAACTCGTCATTTTCCCCATGTGGACTACAGTGCCATTAATGGTACATCCAGCCATCGGGGTCCATCCTCTTTGCCCCAGAATGAACTCAGTTTTAGCCCGAGCCCAGCCCTCCAGTCCTCAGCACAGGACTCCTTTAACTCCAGCTTCAGTTTTATCCAACAGTCTCTAAACACCAGCCAGAAGACATATTCAACCACTGCCACACCACCCAGGAGACCAGAACCCCTATATCAGTCAACTCATGCACCTAGTTCACCTCAATCAAAACCAGCAACCTTATCCATTGTGCACAATGTCTCAAAACTGTCAACTCCTTTCCAATCACTGCCCTCCTCCTCCCCAGGTAGCCAGGCAAAGAGAGAGGAGCTGACATTAGGCAGTAGGTTTTGGCAGGAGTGTCAGTGGAGTGGCAGGGGGGCTACACCTGACCACCTTGAATGTGACTCCCCAGTTCTGGACATAGAGATAATCTCCTCACTGTCCTTGGACTCAGACACCGCCTCCGCCTCTTCCGTCACCTCAGGTTATGAGAGCGCTACGCCTGTCTCCGAGCAAGGCTGGGACAACCTGGTGAAGAAGTATGAGGGTGTTCTGCAAGACTGCCTCCAAAACAACCGCACTCACACTAAGGTAGGCATGATGTGAGCTTGAGATGCAGGGCTGTTGTCCCAATAGCCTTATGGAGTTTAAGTCAATTCCAAGACCAGGTTCAGAGTCAGAGTACTAAAGCATTTCAACATTTTTATTTTTTGCACATCAAATGTAAGGGTACCACTTTACATTAAGACTACCCTTATAAAGGATTCATAAAGGGTTTATAATTAGGTTTTGAATTAGGTTGTAAACACTTTATTAATCATTAAGAAACATTTGTAAACCAGTTCTAACATAGTTTTCATACATCAACACAGGCTCACTATTTGGCAAGATGACTAGCCTTCTATTGGCTACTTAGCGAGAATCAACTCAGTGAGCAACAGATACCAAGGATGCTGGCTGATGAAGAAGATGAAGTAAGCTAAGTAGCCAATATAAGGCTTAGCAGTACAGATGAATGTGGGCTCTCTATTTGGCAAGCAACCGGTCAAAGTTGCCCTGTTTATATGTCTTATAAAAGCTTATTAATTATTTAATAAATGAATTACAAGCTATTCGTAAACCCTTTATAAGGGTAGTCTTATTGTAAAGTGGTACCCAAATGATATACCTTGTTTGTTTAAATCCTAAAAAGACTGAAAAGCAGTAAGAAAGTTGAAGAGTTAAAAGTTGGTGAACCCCTGTTTTGTCGTTGCGCTAAACTAAGCTAAAAAGCTGCTAGCTTAAAACAAGAGAGAGGTATCAATTTTTTCAAATCTGACTCTAAGCGAGACATTTTACAACAATTTTTTCAATAATGTCAAACTATTTCTTTAGGACCATGAGCCAGCTACGGTATCGGCCAACATGTTATTTTTAATGGTAAAACTCACCACCACATATCACACATCTGTAGCTCTACACTACTCTAGGTTTAAACACCAAACTTCTTACAAACAAGACTTTGTCCAAAATTACATAGAAAAGAGTGAGTTTAACCATCTCAGTTTTAATGTGATAAGCCTGCTGACAACAAATAAGAATAAACAATGATTGGCCATTTCAAAACAAATGTTTTCATATTCATTTTAGACATCTCTTTGATGTCCTAATCCCCAATTTGAGAGGATTTTACAAGCTAAAGGCCCTGACACACCAAATTGACACCAAAGAACACGTCCCGACGTAACACGACTGTTGTGTCGCCTCACGTCTCCTGTATGGAGTCAGATTTGGGTCAATATTCTAGCGCGCAAAACAAGCTACTCACGAGCGGAAAATGTGCTTTTACACGCGCATAAAATGACCCTCGCGCGCGGCTATGCGCGCACTCGCGAGAGAGACAGCCCTCTTGCTCGCTCGCGGGAGTGTCAGCCTCACTCGCTCGCGGAGTCTGTCTGCGCGCGCGTGAAAAGTTTCTGACACTTTAGGGCGGAGCCACTGGACTTTGATTGACAGCTGCCAGGAAGCTCGGAGTTGCCAGGTTTGATAAATGCCTGAACTACCAAGAGCCGAGCAGCAACGTCAGTTGGACGAGATTGAATGGTAAAGTTGTCCATAAAAAAATATTATATTTGTAAAGTGTACAGCTAATATATATATAAATTAATTTGATATAAAAAAACGAGTGTAATACTTTTACAAACACGTAATAATATGCATTCATTATGACAATATCATACTATTACTATAGGAGTGTTCTATAGTGTGTTCAAAAAACAACTACAGAAACACTATTATACTCTAGTAGTACTATTTAAAATAATATAATCTTAATACGGAAGCACCAAAAAAAACATAATAGTAATACTTTTACAAACACTATAGTAATAATATGCATTCATTATTACATTACATGTCACTTGTTAGACGCTTTTATCCAAAGCGACTTACATACTCAATACTGTGGGCAATCCCCACAGGAGCAATTTGGGGTTTGAACCTGTGACCCCCATGATCCGAACACCAACGCACTATTCCACTGCACCACACGCCTCCCTATGACACTATGACAATATCATGCTATTACTAGGAGTGTTCTATAGTATGTTCAAAAAACAACTACAGAAACACTATATATTATACTATAGTTATACTATTTAAAATAATATAGGAATACTACAAAGATCTAGATACATACACTGAACAAAAATATAAATGCAACACTTTTGTTTTTGCTCCCATTTTTCATGAGATGAACTCAAAGATCTAAAACATTTTCATATACACTAAAAATA